AGGAATGCTTTGAAGGCACGACAGTTAAGCAAATATTTAACAACAGTTAATTAAAAAAAATATGACACGAGCAAGGAATACCAAGTGCGGTCACAAAAAACGGTTATTTAACTGCATTTGCACCCAGGGACTTTAAAAAAAAAAAAAAAGAAAGTTTGCATGGAGAGATGAAAGGCATTTGTCATTTAGAAGACACTCCTAGGAACGGGAGCACTTCAAGCTCAGCAGGCTGACACCTTCCCTCAGTCACATCTGAGCCGCTCTTTCTAGACTTTTCGCAGCATCTTTTAGCTTTCCAACTAAATCCTAAGAGATGAAGTACCGTCTTAGAGGATTTTTCAAAAGGTCAGCTAGATGAACACTTTTTTTTTTAATATAGAGAGGCAAGATAAACTGGCACCTTACACCACAAAGAAATGCTGCAACTGATGAACAATGCCAGTGAGTAATTAAATAGCTCCCTATTTTACAACATGCTAAGAAAAGTGGGAACTGAAGGAAAACACCTTTTAACGTATATTATCTACTAAAACAGACCACTGCTCTTAACACGTGGGTTGCGCTGGTACCGTTACAATGGCTAACGCTGACGTTTGCTCTGGGCTTCGAGGCACCACGTACATTTCTAAAATACTGAAAATATTTTGAGTGCAATTTTGCACTAGGACCATTCTCCAGCCAGAGCACATCAGCTTTCACCAAGCCAGCAAACCGATTCAAAACACTCATTGCTAAGTAAAGGACAACTTCAGAGACACACGTTAAAAAAGGAGAGGTATCAAGCTGAAGTTTTAATATCTTGCTTTTCTTCTGCCCCCCAGCCCCTCTTCCCAGTCCTCCGCGGTTTGGTCACTCCCAAGCATGACAATACCTCCATTGTTCAGTTACACATTTAAATCGCTAAACAAAGATCAACGTTGGTTTCAGTACATTTCTTACATGTCATTAACACCACTGAAGAACCTTCAGTTCGTTCTCTATTTTTCATCATGACACTTTTAAACCATTGAACCAGCTTCTTTAATCATTTCTCTAAAGCACGGGGAATCAGAGTTTTAGAAAAATCACGTATTTTGTCCTACATATATATATACACACACACACATATGTAACAGTCATGAAAACCAACAAAATATTTATGCATGTATGTAAAACACTCCCCAAGCAACTAAAATCAGTTACTTTGCAACTTTATTTGAGAAGACAGGAAAACTGCACCCGGATAATTTTTATAGAAGGTTCTCCTCTACCCTTCCAGTCCTAGATTTTTTTTTTTTCCTCTCAATAATAGTATATATTATTTCATTTTGATTGACAAGTTGTTAAAAAAAATTTACAACCGCAACCGGAGCCAAGCATAGAAACGATGATGAAGGAAAAAAGTACCTGCAATTGCTCCATCGTGCAACTAAAAGTAACATCCGGCTGTGATCCTGAATCACTGTTCTGAAGGAAAAAAAACAACAAACAACAATGCCTGTTTTATTAAAGAAAAAAAAAAATCATGAAATTCCATTTTTTCCTCTGAGGGTGCTGGGAGTACAGTACCTCTACATTTAAGGTCACCAAGTAGGAAGGTTGGTAAGTTTTATGAAGCCGATCGCTCTAAATTAAAAACAAAGAGCACAGAAAAAAGTCAGGTCTCGGCACTGAAACAGAGCAGATAAACACTTTGATGTGCCAAAATTACCTTGATCTGATATTCCAAGCGCCAAGACACATCCGTTATATGGAGAGGAGATCTGCCTATGCTGGAAGACACAACAGTTACAAGCTCCCTACGCTAAGAGCGAACGTCACTTTCTCGAGCTGTCCACCAATAAAGAACTTTTTCACAATCCTTGTAATGCTTCTTCAAAAGTTCAAGAAGTTTGTTAAGAGCAGAATTCCAAAAGGAGGACGAAAACTTTCAAAGGCTGTTTTCTAAAGTTTGTTAAAAATGTACAATTTTAATTTTTTTTTTAAAGTGGAACAGTATCTCTTCCTTTAACCGCCCAAAGCACGCACAGGTGTTTTCCAGGACAGTCTCAACGCAGCTGTAATTGAAACTACACGCCTGTGCTGCCCAACAGACCTACCTTCCCAACAGGTTTTCCAAGGCATCCTTGTTTTTCTGGAGGGGAGAAAAATAAAAATGAAATTAAAAAAAAAAAAAAATTTGCTAGGTTCAATGAATTCCTGTGAGAGAAAGACAAGACAGCCAAGTTAAACTTCTTTTAAAAACCTGATTTTCCGTGCAGAATTGTTCTATCCTCTCTTTGTCCAGTTTGCAGTCTTCCAGACAGGAGCTGGGGGGGGAAAAGGAGTTAGGTGTGCTCTCCGCCG